CAGGATACTCAAATGCCCCCCTCCCTGCCCCTGCGGCTTCACCTCCATCTCCCTGTCCCAGCCTTCCCCTCTGTTCACCGGCCGGCCCTTTTCTCCAGCCCTCGCGGACTGCGGGGAGTAGGGGTGGGGAGAGAAGGCCTTGTCGGGGCATAGGCTCCGGCCCATCCCCACCCTGCTCCCCACCCAGTTTACGTTTCTACAGGCAAAACTGGGGGCTCCAGTCGCCGTGGCAACAGGTCTGCCGAGAATGGAGAATGGGTGGGTGTCAATCCCCAGCACAAAGGGTGTGCACAAGGCGGCGCCATCACCTAGCAACGGCCTCCCTCTCACTTGGCGGCGTCACCCAGCCCTGGGAGTGGGTGCCAGGAAGAGAGAACAAGGCCATTAAGATCCCCAGAAGAGGGGAGGAGGGGGGTTGTGTACAGGGCGGGCTGAGGCCAGGGCATGTGGGTGGGGCAGCCAGAGGGTGGGGTGGCCCAGAGCACTCTGAACCCCCATCCTCACCATCACTAGCTCCTGGGACCCTTCCTGAGGCCCCAGAGGGATGTTCTAGATAGGCCTGGTGGGCAGAAGTCCCTGGAGGGACCCAGAGCTGAGCTGCAGACGGAAGGGCTGTTCCAAAGCAAGCTGGGCTTCTCCAGGCAGGGCAGCCCAGTCAGGGGTCACCACAGGGTGACATGAGCCAGCTGCTCCCAGCCCAGGACTGAGGGGCCTGTGGAAGGGCCCAGAAGGAGAGCTGGAGAAGTAGGATTTCTGAGGCTGGCCCAGCGTGAGGAGCTGAGGGCTGGTGGGGACCTCTGGCAGGAAGGGTGGTGTGGTGGGGACGGGGTGGGGGCGAGGAGGGGACGGGCAGCTGGGCTGGCCACAGGCAAAACACTCTGTCCTCAGAAACCAAACAAGAACAGTTCTCAAAATGGGAGAGACTGGGAAGCCCCGAGGCTCAGGGAGGGAAGACCACTGTGTTCCCTGGAACGGGGGCTTGTGGAGAGAGGGGAGCGCAGAGGTGGGGGCTCCAGGAGAAACACATCTGCAGCCTTTGGAATTCTCGGGGACCCCTGGTCTAGGCTGGGATGCCCTGCAGCCTCCACCCTCTCTTCCCTCAAAAACCAGGATGCCCTCGGAGCTTGAAGTGCAGGGCATTGGCCAGGCAGGGCCAGAGGTGGACAGGAAGATTCCCAGGGCACTGCCCGGCACCAGGGAAGCCAGGGCCATCTGGGCACTGCCAGACACGGCACAGAAAATGGGACGGGCACGGGTAGCTCTACCTAGTTTATTGTTTTTCCAGAAGGGCCTTCTATAGGAAAGCACCTAACAGGGGACTGGGACCGGGCCACTCGGGGTCCATCAAAGGAGGAGGGGAGAAAGAAATCAGAAGAGAAGGTGCCAGTGGGAGGGGGCATCCAGGGCTGGGGCAGATCTGGGCCAGAGAAGAGGGTACTGGGCAGAACGGGTGGGCCCCCCAGGCCCCAATTCCAGGATGGGGCTCTGGGGTGGGAGGTAGGGGTGACACTTGAAATGGGCACAACTAACGTGAGGTCAGACTCCGAGGCAGAGAGGGCAGAAGGGCTGCAGCCACAGGGTGGGCGGAGCTCGGGCTCCCAGCTGTGGACTGCGAGCTTCCGGGCAGTCCTAGACCTGGCAGCACACCGCCCGCCAGTGCCAGTCACGGCTGGAAGCCCACGGTGGCAGGAAAGGCCCTGCTCAGGGAGGGGGCTTTGGCCCCCAAACCTCGACAAGAGGAACCTCAACGAGTCCATCCCTAGACAGTAAGATGGGCAGTGAAGCAAGACCTATGGGGAGGAAAGAACAGGTGCCCGCACGGGGGCAGCCCCCACCCTGCTCGGGCGGGCTCAGCAAGGCGTGCCCAGGGGCAGGAGCGGGGGAGACTCCCTGGGCTTGTGAAAGTAGATGGAGGAGGACACCTCGGTCTTGAGCTTGTTGTCCGAGCTGTCGGCGGCGGCCTCCGAGGCACGGCCACACTCCTCACAGCAGCAGCAGCAGCAGCAGTCCAGGAAGGCCTGGCCCAGCGGCCTGCAGATGCACAGAAGGAGCACGGGGGTGATGGCGCCCTTGAAGAAGGTGGAGAACTGGTTGATGAGGCCCAGCAGGTCCAGGGTCTGGCGCGTCAGCTCAGTGGAGAGGTAGGCCACCACGATGTTGCAGACGTTCTCGGGGAGTGTGCAGAAGGCGTAGACCACCGTCAGGCCCACCACGGTGCTGCTGAGCTGGCTCTCACACTGCTCATGCTTGCCCGCCCGGCACTCCGGCTTCCTCCCTGGGGGGCCCCGCACCCGCCACGTCACCAACTGGCAGGTGACAGTGAAGAGGATGGGCAGACAGAAGTAGCAGCCGAAGTACCACCACATGCGGGCGTTCTGGTAGGTCATCACCAGGGAGTAGAGGGACTCAGGCAGGCTGGCCGAGGGCTTCATGATGCAGGAGTCCACCGTGCCTGAGGTGGGGGCAGGCTCCTGCACCAGCTGCCACAGCAGGAGCTCGGGCACTGCCAGCGTCATGGAGCCCACCCAGATGACCGCCAGCTTGGCCAGGATTGACTGGCACCGCTCGATGGGCCTCACCTTGGGCAAGGTGCTGGTAGCCACATGGAAACGGTCAATGCCCAGAGCACAGAGGCTGAAGGTTGTGACCCCCAGGGACGAGACCTGTAGACAGGAGTGGGAGGGTGGGAGTACTTGGTTAAGACCTCTGGGGGCCAGGGAGGAGAGGACCAGACCTTAAGCTACGGGACGGGCAGAGGAATAACACACACACCGACACAAGCACTTCCTAAGCATCAGCACTTCACGTGTCACCCAGCCCTACCGACCCCCTTACGGAAGGGTGTCAGGCTCAGGCAGGAAAAGTGACCTGCCCAAGGTCACACTGCTGATGGGTAGCAGAGCAAAGGCTCCCACCCGCGCCTGTCCCCTTGCGCCAACTTCTTCACCTCTCAGGCTTGGGGGCCAACGGCCTGACTCCCAGAGACCTTGCGCTCCCTGAGGCACTTTGGGAAGCAATTTCTTGGAGAACCAAGATGGAGACATGAAAGTGTGGGAAACTGGCAGATCCTTCCACTTCCCGCACCTTCTGAGCCAGTGGACAGTCTTGGGAAACGTGGCTCACACACCACACCCTCGCACTTCCATGCCCATGCCTACACTCACACACATGCATGCACACTCACACCCAGTCCCTCTCACTCTCGCACACACTCACACACGGTCTCTCCTTCTCCCTCCCCTGTCCCCAGAGCCTGGCTGTGAGGGAGTGACCCCCCAGAAGCAAGCCTGTGCCCCCATCCCCTCGTGCTATTCTTGAGCACACAGGACGGTCAGCCTGTGAGCCAAGAGGAAGAGGCAGCGCAGCGGGAGCAAAGTGCTGGGGAGCATAAAGGCAGAGGGAACCCTCCTGAGCCTCAAAGAGTGTCTGACCGCACTTGGGGATTGTGCTCCAATCCCCTCTTGTCCAGATTGCCAGATCCTTCCCCCTCTGGCTGGGGCTACACAGCCCCTGGTTTATTAGTGCTGCCACCAAGAGTCCTTTGTAAGAACCCCAACCCCCTCTCTTGGCAGGGGACCCCAAGCCCGTGGAGGAACAGACTCAGGCTTGGGCAAAAACACCACTCTCTCCCGGTCTTTTCCTGTGTCTCAAACAAACAAAAAAAAAAATCCAGTGTAATCCAAGCTGCCTTTCTGTGCTCCTTCCTACGGGCCTTCCTGAGGTCCTCCCAATAAAAGGATGTGGTACACCCCATTACCCATCCTAGAGGGAGGACTCTCCATCAGCCCCTGGACCATCTCTATCCTCCAGGAAGCGTGGAGGATGAGGCCTCGGCTGACTGAGGCCAGAGCCTCTGTATTAGGTATGTTGAGAGCCGTGGTGAGGCAGAACCAGGTGTTCCCTGACCTACCAGCCACTTGGAAGCAAGAGTTCCTGTGTCTGCTCTCCCCCGAGCCCACTGCCTGTCAGACTATTTCCGTTTTAAGCAATTTAGAGACACTAACCATTTAATCCTCCAAGAACTCATTTGGATGGCCATTATTACCATTGTTCCCAATTTACAGATGAGGAAGTTGTGGTGTAGGCAGGTGCAGTAACTTACCAAGGTCACTCAGCTGGTGAGCTGGTGGTGGGCAAAGCCTCATGTCCGACCTGGTCTGCCTGATTCCAAAGTCCTGCATCTGACTACACATGGCTCCCCTGAGCTGTGGGTATCCTCTGTCAGCTGAGATGCAAAGGCTACCCCCGCTGTAGGGCCTCCTTTCCAAGCTCCTTTGGCCACCACTGGGTGGTCTCCCTGGGTTGGGACGGACAGGAAAGGCCTCTGAGCCTCAGAGAGTCTGTCCAGCTATGAAACCATCACCAACACACAGTGAGCTGGGAAGAAAGCGGGAACAGGACCTGTGTCCAGATGCTCAGTCCTGAGTCCCTCTCCAGGCCGATAGGTCACTGGTGTCACACAGCATCATCCACTCTCAGGAGGAACTTCAACCTTGACAAGGAGACCTGGTCACTACAGTCCTCATCAGGGCCAGAGTTTCCCCCATGCAGCCAAAACGTTCAAGGCTGCTGGCTTATCATGTGCTCTTACACAGAGGCAGCAGCCTTGCTGTGTCTTGCATAAATGAACGTATCTTGGTATATTTTTGTAGTGATTCAATTAAGCTATCTTTACGTGATCTGTACATCCATCAACACCCATGTGCTTATCTTAATGTGGGGAAGTTCCAGAAGTGAGGACAGATTGCTACATTTTAGAATTGTAGAATAAGCCAGCTGGAAGGGCCATCTGGTCTACCCCAGAGCTGGGAGTTAAGAAAATTGGAGAGGAGAGGCAGCCTGCCCAGGGATGCCCAATATGTCTGTGAGAGCTGAGGCGAGAGCCCCACTAGTTCCAGTGCCCAGGTCTCCCCTTTCCGAGAGGACTTAGAAGGCTGCTGGGAACCAGCAGTTAGAGTAATGGCTATGTCGCTGGACTCCCACATAGTCAACTGTGGTTCGCGTCTCGGACCCGGTGGCTTAAAACTCACTCCAGGCGCGTGTGCATGCGTGCCCAAGATCCCAAGAGGAGAATGGAGGAGAAGGGATTGCGGTGTGACCATCCCCCTTGGGGGGTGATTTCTCGCTTTCTGTCTCTATGTCTCTCTCTGTCTGTCTGGTGAGCGCACGCGCCCTATAGCTAAAATCTCTCAAAAAACAAAAACAAAAACTGGCTTCTATAATCCCTCTAATATATTGCACACAGCTCACTACTTCGCTTCTTTCATATCTTTATGTAAACACTGCTTTCTCAATGAAGCCTTCCCAAGTTCTATTTAAAATTATTGGGTCCTCAGAAAAGTCATGATCTTTTTTTTTTGAGAGATTTTTCACTGTAGGGCGCGTGCGCTCGCCAGACAGACAGAGAGAGACAGAGAGACAGAAAGCGAGAAATCACCCCCCAGGGGGGATGGTCACACCACAATCCTTTTCTGGAGTGCGCACGCGCCCTATAGCGAAAATCTCTCCAAAAAAAAAAAAAAAGACTTACCTATAGCAAAAACCTCTCCCCCACCCCCCAAAAAAAGAAGAAGACTGCTGACGGAGATGACGGTGAGGACAAAATTCAGAGTAAGAAAGGGAGTTTTGGGGTCGTGGTGTTGCGCTCACAGGGAGCGGACGCTGGCTTGATCTGGAAAGTCTGTAGGAAATTGGCATCTCCCTGTAGATGCTGCTTAGAGAGGCAGGATATTGAGGGGTGAAGAAGGGGAGCTGAGGGTGCGGGGCAGTGGCAGTGGGCACGAAAGCAGAAAAAGGAGCCACACGTGGACAGAGTGATTTCTAGGGTGGAAGGTGGAGGGGAGAGGCAGGGGAGAGGGCAGCTTAGGTCTAGAGAAAGGGGACGGGACCTGTCTGTGGTTGCTCCTTGAGCCAGAGACCAGGCGGGGGCCCTTCCCTGCCTGCTCCCTCAGCCTGCCCAGTGCTCCTGAGAGCTACCAGAATCCAGTCCCCACAGGTGTCCCCCTCCCCAACGTAGAGGAGGAGAAGCAGATCAGAGCTCCAGGGCTCTGGGGTTCATGCACCCCCAAATCCCACTTCCAAGGGCTGGATGGAGACTTTGAACCCTTTCCTGGATCACGGCCCCCAGTTGAGCTCTAGCAGGACACTCACTCACCTCCATAAAAGGCACAGCTCGGCAAGAGATGTCGCCCAGCAGCCTCTGCTTGGTGATCTCATTGAAGATAACAACAGGGAGGCAGAAAAAGAGGACCAGGAAATCCCAGAGGGCCAGGCTGGCAAGGATGGAGTTCCAGGCACTCTTCAGGTAATAGCTGTGCCACACGATGCACATGACCGACAGGTTGCCCACGATGCCCACGGCGAACACCACCAGGGCCAGGAGCATGATGGCGTAGGCACTGTAGGAGCTCTCAGTCACTGGGTACAGGGGGTTCCGAATCCGCAGCCTCTGGCCCGCTGTCCCTGTCAGGTTGCCCCGTGGCTCCTGCCCGCTGCCTGGGGTGCCCCTGTCCTTGCCTGGCTTGGGGCTGGTGGCCGGCAGGGTCTCAGTGGGCTGCAGGGCAGCAGGGTGGATGGGCCGGGGGTACTCGGCCCACTCTTCAGGCACGTACTGCTGCACCCCCTTGGTCTCCTCGTCTTCGGTGCCTCTCTTGAATCGGCTCTGCTGCTCCTGGGCCTCAGCTTTGTGCCTGCCCGAGTGCAGGGGGCCACCCCCAGAGCCCCTGCTCAGCCCCGCAGCCAACACCGCAGCAAGAGAGACGGCCAGGAGCCACAGCCCCCGCATGGCCAGACGAGCAGGCGGCAGCTGCCCCCGGGAGAGCAGGTGAGGGCAGGAGACCCAAGCTCTGGGCCGAAGAGAGGCAGCTGGCCGGGCGGGTCCGCCTCCGGTCAGGCGTCTGGCATGGCAGCCCTCCCTCCCGCCCACTGGCACGGGCTGGGCAGGGCCCTCTGCTGGACATAGTGCACTCTTTGCTGCCCTAACACATCTCATCCTCTGTGCCTCTCCTCGGCCCCTCAGGGTCACAGCATGTCAGACTGCAGGGCCCCCAGAGGACCTGCTCCAGGCCAGCGAGGGCAAGGAGCACAGGCAGCTTGCTTCCGGTGGCATGGTGAGGCGGGGCCACACCCGGGGCTGGGGTGCAAGTCTCCGGATCTAAGGTAGCTCCTCCATTCAGAACTCTGCAGTGACGGTCACCATCACTTACGGAACACCTAGCGGGTCCTGGCTCGCAGCTGGTTCTCGACTGGCCTTCTCCACAGCTCTGGGGGGTGGGTGCCTTGAGATCTGAGGTTCATGGAGGATAGTCATTTGCCAATGGCTGATATGAGGCAGAGCCAGGCCCAGGACCCGGATCTGCCTTCGGAGACTTTAACTCGACCCTGTTCTTAATAGGCAAGAGCCCATCAGCTTCTCTTCCAGAGGAAGACTTCCCAAGGAGAGCGGCAGCAACCAGAAGTTTACAGTCCTAGGTTCTGAGCCACACACTGGCTGGGGGGTGTTCGTGATAACACAGGCTTTTTTTTT